TCTGCCAAATGGTCCTCCTCATTCCCTTTCTCTTCGTAGACCTTCTCCCGAAAGGTCATTATTTTAGCTTCGATGGGCAGTCTGGCCTCACATCCATATGTAAGGACGAAGGGTGTCTCCCCGGTGGCCCTTCTCGAAGTGACTCGGTAAGCCCAGATGATATGTGGCAACTCCTCTAGCCAATTTGTTCCTGCCTCACCCAGCCGCTTTTTAATCCCGTCGACTATTGTGCGGTTCGCATTCTCCACTTGACCATTCCCTTGCGGGTAGGCCACGGAAGCCTTGTTGTGAGTAATTCCGAAGTCCTCCAAGTATTTTGTGAACCCTGGATTCCGAAATTGAGGCCCGTTGTCCGTCACAATGTTTCGAGGAGACCCGAACCTGGTGATTATATTCTTCCAGACGAAGCGCTGGCACTGCTTGGTTGTGATGGTTGCATATGCCTCGGCCTCTACGCATTTTGTGAAGTAGTCGATAGCAACCATGACATATTTCTTCCTCCCTTGTGCTTGGGGGAAGGCTCCAATGATGTCCATTCTAAACCTTGCGAATGGAATAACATTGGAAACTGGGTGGTAATATGTCGCAGGCCTTCCCGGAAACTTGTAGATCTTGCACCTTTGCACATACTTCTCACAATCTTGGTTCATTGTAGGCCAGAAATAACCTAGCAAGATGATCCTTTGTGCGAGTGTCCTGGACATTTGATGGGCTGCACAGACACCCTCATGAACTTCGGCGATCACTCTTTCCGCCTCCGCCCTGGTTAAGCATCTCAGCAGCGGACCGCCAAATGCCCTTTTGTATAGCCTTCCATCAAGCATTTGGAATCTTGGAGCCCTCAACTTTACTTTTCTCACCCTATCCTCATCCTCAGGGAATTGCCCGGTCATATAGTACCTGACCAAGTCATCCATCCAAATATCATCTGGCTCCACTCGATCTGGATTGGGCTGTCCATCTTCCTCTATCATGCTAACAGAAAACCCTTCTATGCTGGCTTTCTCCAGCGTCTCAATCCTGGCAAGCTTGGACACATGCTCCGGGGCTGCTTGCGTCAATTTTGATAGCAAGTCAGCATCGGTGTTCTCCCCCCTAGGGATTTGCTCCATCACATACTCAGTCAGGTCCTTCAATAGTGTCCTTGCCAAGAACCGGTTTAGGGCCGCCAGGCGCCCCGTCAATCTCTGGACATCCCTTACCGAGGTTGGGGGTTGCATCTCAACAATGGCCTTGATCTTCTCAGGATTTGGCTCAATCCCCCTCTTCGTGACCATGAACCCCAAGAACTTCCCCGTCCTCACAGCAAAAACACACTTTTTCGGGTTAAGTCTAAGATTATGCCTA